TTTCTTTGGGGTCTTTTTACCCTAGCTGCCTAGCCAATTTCTGTCTCCTTTTATCATACTGTCCTCTGAAGAGGCTTACCCAAATTGCCAATAGGGAATTGGGACTCAGACCGCTCTGGCTTCTTCCATGCTGAACAGGGATACAGGGTGAGGCAATTGGGGTACCCCCTTCAGTGGGTCTATCTGAAAGACTCCCAAATTGCATAACTTTTGTCTCTAAGGGGAGAAGAAAGTCCTTGAATCATGAATGGGAGATGTAAGGGCAAGAGTAGTTAGTATTAAAATTTTTAGGCAGGGAACCAGAAAATGTCCAAATTAAAGTCCATTGGAATTTCTTGATGAGGGCTCCCAAAAGCATCCATCTAACAGGTTTCTCCTCATTTTTCTTTTGCCTGCCAAGGCTGGAATGATGATTGATGAACTCAGGATTTGTTGTCGGGTGCTTTGATAACTGTTGGAGTGGCTAGAATCGGCTCCCTCTTAAATGGCCTCTAGATAGGGAGAGAAAAAAAATTTAGCCATCATTTTAGAATAGTGAGTTGTTTCCCTCAGCTGCAGGTGGACACTACAGTATTGTAGACCAAGATTTAAAGTCCAACCAGTTTAGATGTCATTTTGTATAGGTAATTAGTAGTCTAAAGAAAGACTGAAGTTTCCATATAGATTTGAGGTAGCATCTTTTTTTCTTTTTAAGAGCTAAAACTGAAGGAAGTTAATTAAACCATGTAGGAGGCAGGAAAGACAAAAAGGAAACATTAACAGATTACATTAAGAATAAATAAAATGTAAATAGTACTGAAAATAATCTCATTAGTTTCATTATAGACAGTAATACCCTCTGTTGAAATTAATTTACATCTTAATTGTTCTCAACTGCACAGTGCCTTTACTCTCAGGATGTTTAGTGCCTTTACTCTTAGGCTGTTTTGTTGTTCTCCTCCTTGTCACAGGGTCAAGGGGCCAGCTTGAACCTGGAAAAGTCTTGGAGAACACATTTTGAGATAATAGGCTTGAGTCTGAATTGGGAAGGCCCAATCCCATCTTCAGAGTCAGCATCTCAGTGAGCTCAAATAGCATGTGACAATTTACCAATATAATTAATATTACTCTGACATTATAACTAGAAAGCACTCAGGGAATGATGGGCCAGGAACATAAGCAAACATAGAGCATCTGAGTATCAGAGAGGGAAATAACTCTAATTTAAAGAAAAACAGGCTTAGAATCACAATGTAGAAAGGGGAGGAGTTAAGACCAGTAGAGATGGCATCTCAAGCCTCTCATTCAAGTAGACTATTACTTTTTACATCTTCTTGTTGTAACTATGTGTTGGTAGTAGCTTGTTTCTTGTAAGGTTTTGGCCCTGGAGTACAGCAAATTTTCATCTGCTTCACAGGTCTAGTCATCACAAAGTGTCAGCTCCCTTTGCACCTTGAGGGCAAATAGCTAGAAAAACTTTAAGTTCCCTTTAGAAACTAGAAAATATACTATGTAAAACAGTAGGAATTTAAAATAGTCATTTTTAGAAATTAGCAGATACCATATAAAAGATGTTAAAATCCACATAATTCCTTTAAAATTACTAGATAAAGATTCATTTAAACGATGTCAAAACCTAAAAATGCTTTTAAAATATCCATAATTATGTCAAACAATGTAAAAACTTAAAACAATCATCTTTAAAAAACAGTAAATATACCATAGAATAAGTTAAAACTCGAAGTAATCCCCTTTAGAAACAGGCCCTAAATGATGTTAAAATTTAAACTCCCATTGTGTAGATTTGGCATTATTACCTTAGTTTGAACTAGAAATGCATTATTTATTTTATAACAGCATCAAGAAACAAAAACAAAAATGAATTGTAAGAGAATCGTAGGCATCCCTGGTACCAGTAGATTAGGCTTGATATTAAAGAAGAAAGTACCCTCAGATATATATGTATATGTGACCCAAATAGAAAAGCAAATTAAAGAAATCCATGTTTCTCACCAACCTTTGTAGCTGTGAATGTGAAGCTAAGTTCTCAGGAGCTCTTAGTTTGTAGACAGACGCTATGCTGGAAAGGAAACTCATGAGGCAGCAGAAGGAACAGGGCATATAAATCAGTGTTAGTTGGTCTGAAAGGATATGACTCGCCTGAGCACTGTCTGTGACCTTTTATGTATAGTGAAATTTAAAATGGTTAGGTCTAGTTAGAAAAGCAGGCACCTGAGTACCAGGTGCTTGATGCCCAAGAGAGCCTAAGATCAAAGTTTGAGCCCCTTTGCCTGAGGAAAAGTTTAGGAGAAAAAAGGCTTTTAAAACGTTTATCCTTTGTCAATGGGGCAAGCCGCCTGAAATTTTTTAAATGTTTAGCAAAGTTGCCCAGCTGGTTTAGGCTAGTTGGGTCAAAATGGGGAGAAAGGGTCCCCTAAAGGGTTTTCAGCCAAATTAAAAAAAATCCCCAAGGCAGGCAAGCTGGCAATCTTGGTTCTTGGCAGCTGCCTGGAGGGGGTGAATAGCGGGAAGGAAAAAAAAGCCCTGGGGTCCTGCAGGTTTAAAGCATGCATGGGAGGTCAGACACGCGGCAGGCTGGCAGGCAGGCACACAGCAGGGAGTAGAAAGCTTTAGTATGGGAGGGGGAGAGAGAGGAGAAGGATTCAGAGCATTTTTATGTGTAGGACTGAACAGTATCAGAAATCATCCAGAGTAAAGTGAGGAGGAAAGGCAGTGGAAGAGGATAAAGACAGGAAAAAGGATAGAAGACAGCAGAGCTTGCAGGCCCATGGCAAAGGAGTTGGGGAGGAGGCGAGATGCAGGTGCTGAGCGGCTGCAGGGGAACCGAGATAGGGAACGTATGAAGCAGGTCCATCACGGAGACCACAGTGTTGTCTGGGAGTGGTGAAAATCAGAGGGAAAGGAAATCAAAAGAAGTAGGCAAGGCAGAGTGTTTCCCAGTGAGAAGAGCCAGAAAGAGGTGAAAGCAAAGCAGAGGGCTGGGGAGAGGAGGAGAGAGAAAAGAAGTGTACCTGAAAGCCAAGTTAGTGGCACTGGAGAAGTCCAGGTGGGTCCCTTGAAGCAAGAACTGGGTTTTGGCACCATCTGATAGGTAAAAAGTTGGTGGAGAATGAGTGAATGGATGATGAGGCACCGAGGCACAGCTAAAACTCCATCAAAATAGGGTTTATTAGCAAAGGAACACATGGGACAGATTCCCTTCCGGGCAGGGAAAATGTCTGCCTGGGTCTTGAGCTGGGGTCTTTTTAAAAGGGAGGCTTCTGCTTCCTGCAGAAAGTGGGAAGATGTATTTTTTTTTTAAGTTGGGGGGGAGTGGGTGAACAGGACTGTTAAAACCTGTCCTCTTTAGAGATCAAAGGGGAAGCCTGCTGTGTTGGCCAAACCGTGGAGAAAAGTCTGCTTCTCTTGACTTCAAAGACCAAGGTGCTTATCAGCTAGGTTCCCTCTTCTCAGGAGCATGAGAAGTCCTTGGGATCCTGTTGGTGTGGGGGCAGGGCTATCTGAACCTTAACAACCAGAGGCCTGAAATCCACATATAAACACACAGCAGTCCTTCAGTTACACAAAAAGACATTAGAAGAGATCGCCAATTATGAGTTTTTTGCACTGGATGTGAAAATAATAAACAACCGCAAGAAATGATAAGATCTGCCCTTCAATCCTAATTAAGTTGTTGAGTGTAATAATAAAGATTTAAATGAGATAACAGAACAAAAGTGGTCTGTGCCTACAAAATTATATATATGTGTGTGTGAGAGGAATTATTAAAGTAAGATGAAGATTGAATAAAACAATTTTCTTTCTCAGGAGTCTTAAGTTCAGAGCTGGAGAGTTGGCTTGGAGGTTAAGAGCACTTGCAGCTCTTGCAGAGGACCTGGGTTTGGTTCTCAGGACCTACATGGTGGCTCATAACTGTCTGTAACTCCAGTTCCAGGGGATCTGATACACTCTTCTGGCCTCAATAGTACCAAGCACACCTATAATACACTTACATACATGCAAGCAAACACTCATACAGATAAAATTGAAAAAATATATTTTTAAGTCTTCAGTTCATTAATTCATGTAGCCATTTATTAACTTATAAATTCCTGATACTCTCCTAGGTGCTACGAATTCATAGATGAACAAAGGCATCATTACCCTGGAAGAGAGGACTATTGCATGGGGGATTTAGCATAATACTTTAAAAAATGTTTTACTTATTATTATTTGGTCTCTTTTGAGACAGGGCCGCCCTGTATCCCCAGCTGGCCTGGAACTCACAATGTAGACCAGGATGACCTTAAGCTCACAGAGATCGATTCACCTGCCTCTGCCTCCCAAGTGCTGGGATTAATGGGATGTGCCACCATGCCTGTCCTTTACTTATTATATTTATTTTATGTGTATATTGCCTACTTGTATGTAAATGCACCTCTGTCGTGCAATGCCTATGCAGGTCAGGAGAGGGTATCAGATTCTCCTGGAAATGGAGTTATGGATAGTTGCTACCCACCATGTGGGTGCTGGGAACTGAACCCAGGTTCTCTGCAAGAGCAGTCAGTGCTTTTAATCCATGAGCCATCTCTCCAGCCCCAGATTTAACATAATTTTTTTTTGTCTTTTTGAGACAGGGTTTCCTTGTAACCACAGCTGACCTGGATTCCCTATGGAGACCAGGCTAACCTTGAACTCACAGAGATCTGCCTGCCTCTGCCTCCCGAGTGCTGGGACTAAAAGCATGTGCCGTGCCGTGCCTAGCCTTCTTAATCTGGTATCAAAATATTTCATTTCTGTCTCCCATTCTATTTTCTTCCATAATCTGTATTCACTACAGCCACTCCAGGCCATATTCTTCTTATTCATTCTTCTCTATGTATATAGGATGTGTGTACATGTGTGTTTGTATGTGAGTGTTGGTGTACACATGCCATGATGTGTGTGTGTGGAAGTCCAAGGACAACCTGTGGTATTGGTCCTTGCCTTCCATCATGTTTGTTGTTTTCCCCACTACGCAGGTCAGGCCAGCTAGCACACAAGCTTCCAGAGACTCTTCTGTCTCCACTTCCCATCTCTCTCTTAGAGCACTGGGATTACAGGTGAGTGCTACTGTGCCTGGCTTTGCATGTGTGCTGGGGATTTGAACTTAGGTCCTCATACTTGCAAGGCAAGTGTTTTCCCACTGAGTCATCTCCTCAATCCTTTCCTCTTCTTTTCTTTGGTGCTGTCACATCAGTTCAGAATCACTCATTATTCCCTCAACAAACATGTACTGAACTCTTCTGTAGACACAGATGAACAAGTAGTCACCTCCCTCAAAGACTTTAACCTAAGAGGAGAGCAGCATCTCCCCCTTCTTCATCAATGCAAATTCTTTTTCTTCAAAATCTATGGTCTATATGGTTTTCCCTGATTCTTTCCCATTTGTAGGTAGCTTACAATCACTTTGTATTTCTTTTCATTTTTATATATTTCTTCAATTAGATTAGGAGTGTCTGGACAGGAATCACGTTTTACCCATTTGTAGAACCCATTAGGTGTTAGTATGATGCCTCAGCAACATTCATGGAACTGGAAAAAGAATGGGGTAAATGTGGGGTGTGGTGGTACACACCTTTAATCCCAGCACTCAGGAGGCAGAAGCAGGCAGGTCTCTATGAGTTTGAGGCCAGCCTGCTCTACATAATGAGTTCCAGACCAGCCAGGGCTACATATGGTGACTATATCTTAAAAAAGAAATAAGAAAAATAAAATAAAGGACAAAAAGAATGAGGTTCAGAAGCCTACCTGGCAGGGTGCATAAAACAAAGAAATGCATGTTTAACAGAAAAGACAGGAACTCTGGTAAGCCAGGTCACACAGAAGAAGGGTTTTAGAATATTTTTGGGAGTCACTTGTTTAAATTCATTCCAGATTATTTCTCTTGTAAACTCCAAGTGGCCTTCCAGAAAATTGGCCGCCAGGGGCCAGACCTACGGTAAACATCCCGGGGTCATTCTCTGAAGAGGACTGGGACAGCAAGGATCCTTGGAAATTTGTCCAAATGTCAGCCATCTGGAGTTAGGGATTGGAATCCTAATTATAAGAGTTGGCAGATTCCTTAGAAATTAGGAGTTCTTCTCACAAGGGAAGCTGATTTGTCCAAGTTCACACAACTGCTCAGGTGTACAAGCACAAGCTGGTGAAACTTCCATTCACTCCTCACCCTGTTCAGAAAGTCCTGGAAATGAGGGCCAGGTGAGTGACTCACCTACTGTCTGTGATTCTTTTCCTCTTCTGCCTCTGGATGTGGACATGAACTCTCAGAGAATCCCTTTGCAATGGTTTGGCTGTGCTTTGTCCAAACTCCTGCCAAAACATAGTCTCCACCTTCATGGTATTCAAAGATTATGGCACCACTAAGGTGGGGCCTGAGGTGAGGCAGTCCAGTGGTGACTGCACTGGATTCATGCCTGGGGCCTGGATTAGGCCTCCCAGAAGTGAATTCGTTCCTGTGAGAGCCCTTTCCCATCTCTTGCTTCCTCTCTCGGGGTAATCTCTTTTGCACATGCTCCTGCCATGTGATTCCATCTACCATGCTATGATACAATTAGAAGACACTTACCTGAGAATACACACAGGGATGTAGCTGATGGATTTTGGATTTGAGCTAAGTAAACCTCTTTCCTTATAAATTACCAGCCTCAGGGATTTTGCTGTAGTAACAGAATAGGATTAAGCCACCTTTTAAGTAATCTTATTACCTTTACAACCTCTGATAGCATGATACAGCTGCAAGAGTTTGTGTAGTATCTGCCTTCTATCTAATATGAACAAAGGTGCTATGAACTGAAGAGCCAGAATGTTCTGACTCCATTTTGGCTAGCTTCTTTAGACAAGCCCAGACAAGCTCAGGCATATCATACATGTAAAAGCCTTGTAAGGTATAAACAAAAACTTCTGACTCTAAAAGATATTAGTCAGCACATTTCAATCCCCTGAAGACAGCCCCTACCAATCAAGACGTCCCCCATACACAGGATATGGGGACATCCAATTATTTTAAAAAGGTGCTTGGTGCACGCAGGTTTCTGTGGAGTGCCCCAAATAAAAGCTCCTGCCTGCTATTGTTTGGGGCCAGACTCCATCTTTGGCTTGTGAAATCTGTGCCCGGCTAGCCACCATTTGGTTGTTGTCTTTTTTTTTTTTTACTTTAAATTCTTGAATAAACTTTTTGCATAACCTTTTTGGGTATCTGTGGGAATTATTCTCGATTCTCGAACCCTAACATGAACATTTATTTACAACTATTTGTGCAGAGATCTTTTCCATTCATGTGGGGACATATAAAGAGTGGAATTGGTAAGTTATATAATAAATCTATATTTAACAGTTTTGCTTTGTTTTGAGACAGGGTCTCACTTTGTAGCCTTGGCTGACCTAGAACTTGCTATGCAGACCAGGCTGGCCTCGAACTCACAGAGAGCCACCTGCCTCTGCCTCCCAAGTGCTGGTATTAAAGGTGTGTGCCACCATGCTCAGCTATGTGTAACTTTTTTTTTGAGACAGGGACTTACGACCATAGTCCAGGGCATATGTTTGCATTTTTGAAGAACTGTCAAGCAATATTCTAATACTGGCAGCAATATTGTATGTCCTTACCAGCAATGTATGAGGATTTCAATTTCTCCACATCCTCACTAACATATCTTTTTTGTTATAGCTATTGTTAATGGGGTGAAATTATATCTCATAGTTTTGATTTGCCTTTACTTAATAAAAAATGTCAAATGTTTATTTGTGTGTTCATTAATATTGTTTTGAGAAGTGTCTACTTAAATCCTTTTCTCACTTTTATTTATTTTTAATTTTTTGTGGTGCTAGGTACCAAACCTAGGTAGGGTCTTTGACATGCTAGGTAAGCGTGTTTTAACTCAGCTTCATCTGCAGTTTCCTTTGGCCATTCTCAAACCCAGTTATTTTTAATGCTTTTTAAAATTTTTAAATATTTCATTTATTACTTTTTTTTTGGTCTTTTTGAGACAGGGTCTCCCTGTAGCCCAAGTTGGTCTGGAACTCATTATGTAGACTAGGCTGGCTTGGAACTCACAGAGATCCGCCTGCCTCTGCCTCCTAAGTGCTGGGATTAAATGTGTGTACCACCATGCCCAGCTCATTTATTACTTTTTATGTGTATGAGTGTATTGCCTGCATGTGTGTAAGTGCATCTGTGTCATGCAATGCCTTCAGAGGTTATAAGAGGGCCTCGGATTTCCTGGAACTGGAGCTACAGATGGTTGTTAGGTGCCATATGGGTGATGGGACTCACACCTGGTCCTCTGCAAGAGCAACTAATTCTCTTAACCACTAAACCATCTCTCTGGCCCCATTTTAAAAAAATTCTTGGGGCCACGTGTGGTGGCACTTGCCTTTAATCCCAGAACTTGGGAGGCAGAGTTATGGGGCACTTAGAGCCTGAGTGCCTTTTTGTCCTGAGGCAAGTTAATTTAAATTCTCACCTAACTGGTTTAGCTTGAGCCTGAGGGCCCCCGGGGTGAGATAACAAAACAGATTAAGGAAGTTTGTTATTTTAGAAGTTGAATTCAAAGCTTGTATGAAAATCCCTTAGAACTTTGGGGATTTTATGTTTCTCAGGGTGTTGTTCAAGATAGAAAAGAAAAGGAGGGTGAAATGCTGGTTCCTAGGGGAGCATGCCCGGGATCAAACCTCAGGGCATTCCACGTAGTCCACAGCGCAAGCCTGCCTGCAAATTTAAGAGATCTGGAGACCAGCTCCAAGAGCAATTAAATTAACCTTTAATCTCAGCACTCTGGAGTTAGAAGTAGGCAAATTTCTGTGTGTTTGAGGCCACCTAGGGATACATAGTGAGGCCCTGTCTCAAGGGGAAAAAAAGAAAAGGAAAGAAAAGAAATGGGGGCTACAATGTAAAGTCATGTTAAAAGCATGAACTTGGGTAGATGAGATGACTCAGTGGGTAAAGGTGCTTGCTTCCATGCCTGCTGACCTGAGTTCAACCCACATCATGGAAGAAGAGAACTGATTCCTTCAAGTTGTCCTTCTGATTCCACACACATTCCACAGTCCTTGTTCAGACACACACACACGTAATTAAGGGGCTGGAGAATCAGCTCCAGGGTAAAGAGCACTTACTGTTCTTCCATAGGACCTGTTAGGGTTCCACACAGCAGCAGTTTCCCCCCTCCCCAACAGGGACCTCACCTTGACCTTTGAAGTCAAGGGAAACAAACTCTGCTGAGAAGCAGCCAGCCTTTCCTCTGATCTCCAAAGATAAGATAAGCAGATTCTACCTGTTAACCAGATTTTAGAAGCTGTTTATCACAACAGCTTTTCTCTTAAGAGAGAAAAAGTAAACACTTCCAGACCCTAATCCCACCTGGCAGACTGAAGGGAGCCAGGCTTTTCCTGCTTCCCCTTCCCTGATTTCTCCCCCAAACATTTCCCCCTTCCACACCCGCACCCTAAAGCCCCCATATATAAGTCCCAACTCACAACCCGTGGGCTGACATTTTTCCCTTCCCCGAGGGAAACATGTCCCGTGCGAAATAAAGCTGTATCCTGCTGAGAATTCCATCTGTGCCTCGGTGCCTTCCTCCATCTGCCACCCGCTCACTCCTGCCTGCCCTCTACCTATCAGGATGAACAGGCTCCAGTGGATGAACTCACACCAAAGGACATCTGAGTACACAAACTGACTCAACAAGCCTTAACCATTAACGTATATGACAAAATGCACAAAGTCCTGTGGGTGGGTTATAGGGGAGGCACTAAATATGATTAAGATGTACTGTAGAAATCCACAAAAAATCAGTAAGAATATATTAAAAATCAATAAATAATTAACTAAAAATGGGATGAGGCTATGTACTCTCAAAGCCCACTCCCAGCAACATGCTTCCTCCAGCAAGCCTGCGCCTCCTAGGGATTCTATGATCTCCCCAAACAACACCACCAACTGTGGAACAAGTGTTCAAATATTTGAGCCTATGGGGGACATTCCATTCAAACCACCACTTTCTATTCCCTGACCCCTATAGGTTCATGGTGGTCTCACAATGCAAAATGAATTTAATCCAATTTTAAAAGTGCCCATAATCATTAACAGTTTCAACACTCTTCAGAAGTCCAAAGTTTCTTCTCTGAGCTTCATCTAGGCCTCTCCATTCTTCTCCATTCCCGGTCCCTCTCGGCCTTTGGCCCCACTACCTTGTTTCCTTGTACTTTGGTTCCTACTGGCTGGTCGCGCACCACATTGCAGAAACCTCTCCTAACTCATTTTTACTCGCTCGAAATCACACCGGTGTGTGGGAGGTTCCATCCTGCCTTTGACTACAGGATGCGGGGACACGCACAACTCGTATTTCCCCTCCCCAGTGATTGCGGGATGCTGCCCTGGGGTTCGGGAATTTAACTCGAATCTGCAACAAAAAAAAGGATGCTTTTCTTTTGTTGCCTGATTCTGATTCTTCTCATTCTCGTTTTTACATGACCTAAGCCAAACCTTTGCCAAACCTTTCTCTTCCTGCTTTCTCTCTCTCTCTCTCTCTCTC